CACAATAGATGACAGCCTAGGAAACCCTCTGGGGAAGTTCTCCTCTGTTACACCAGGGGGCATTGTGAGTGGATGATCTATAAGAGTATATAGTGACAAAATAGATGACAGCCTAAGAAACCCTCAGGGGAAGTTCTACTGTCACACAGGGATGCTGAGTTGGAATCAACTCAGTGGTACCCACCAAGCACAGACCCTCGCTGAGCGTGGTTACATTTCTTGAGATTACACGAAGGCAGAGTGAAGCATCGGACAGCATTTATTAGAACTCAGAAAAGCACAATATGATGTACCATATAGCAGCTGTTTTACAACGTAGAGGCCAGCCAAAAGTTGTCAGGGTACAATGTCATCAGCATTAAGGGAGACATGAGGCCAGGTTCACATTTGTTTAGTTTTGATAGGAGGTGGATGGGCCCCTATACTTGTCCAAACAATGAAATGTCAACAGGGTGAGCCTTTGCAGAGGCCCCGCCGATTTGCACGTTAGCATCAGAATCTAAATCTAGCATCACCATTATAATAAACTATAAAAAACAAGTATTAGAAAAATAGAACATCAAATGAGCAAAAATATACAATTTACATAATTAAAAAAACAATCCCACCCACCCCACACACAGACACACACACAGGACTCGCTTTTACAAATGGCTCCATGCTCAGGAGAAAAGTTGATGGGAGAAACCAATGCTCATCAGCTACCTTTACTCTTGGTGTTCAGTAAACCTTATTGAAGTGGAAAAGGCACAACTTAAGCAGGAAACTTTCCTTTTAAGTCTATATATTTAAATACATAGCTATTTAAATATATATATCTGCACATATATATATATATAATAACTTCTCACATGGGAAAATAAGTCCCAAATTAAAACATTTATTTGTAGTCTAAGAGTCATACAGCGTGGTGAAAGACGAGCAGAGTCTGACTGCGGTTCCCGATCCTGCTAGACGCGTGAATCCCCTGAGAAAGTCGGTTTGGGCTTCCCGTGAACCTCAGCCATGGCCTGCTGTCTCACAGGACCCTGTACTCCGGGGGCTCAGATGACAAATGGACTAATATCCGATCCATTTCCCCCTTGGAAGAGGGCACTGCCGCTTTCAAAGAGTGGTGTCACAGGCGCCGAAAGACTGGAATCTGAGGGACAAGCAGGAGCATCAGCTGACGTTTTTAAGAACCCGTTTTCAAGAGCTCTTTCAGGTGATAAATTCTGGGGTGCCGGTTTCTTGCGCCACTGGATAAATGAAGCATTTCCTTACCAAACAGGTGGGTCCTAGTCTGACAAAATGTGCACATCTCACTCCCTCGGGAAGCTTTCCACACAGCACCCCTGTTCCGATGGCAGGCGTTTGAGACTATACACATTTACAGAATACATATGTGGGAACCCCATCTGAAGTGACTGTCATGAAGTCTGCGGTCAGCGATGCTACTGCTTTTCTGGGGCTGACAGAGTACCCAGCCAATGACTCTCTTGTTGGTTCTAGGACACACCAGGGTGGTAGGGCTGTTTTTATGTAGTTGAGTTTTGGGTGCCAATATCAGTGCTGGCTCTTGTTAAAAAGCAAGCAAGGGGCATTTGCGTCTGAAAGGACAGCCCCAGGGCAGAGCAGTGGTGAAGGGTTTTGCCTGCTGTACAGGGTGGGCGCCGACTCTCCTCAGAGGACCCACCTCCTGCCCTTTATTCTGAGCTTTGTCACGAGCTTGCCTGAAAAGCAGGCTCAGGCCACACTCAGCCTGGTGGTGTTGGTAGGGGAAGCCCACTTGCCATTTGGTGCAGAAAACCTGGAAAAGCCTCAACCCCTGAATGAAGTGGCCACCAACTAGCCCTGCTGTGGACACTGGCTAAGCACAGGGGCAGACAGGAATTTGCCAGGAAGGTCTCGGTCAGGCCAGTGCCCAATGCATCCTGCTGGTCACCTCTGGTCACACGGTGTCCCTTGCCTACCAAGACCAAAGCTCAACGTCACCAGTCGCCATCGGAGGCCAAGAAAGGACTGTCCAGTGGCAGTCTGAAAGCTGATGATTGCACAAAGGTGAAAGGGTTGCTGGGAAGAGAAATCTGAGGAAGAAACAAAAGCTAACGGGGAGGGGGGTCTGGGCTGAGCACTTCTGCCAACGGCGTGAATTTATTCATCCCTCTTAAGAAAGGTGGTAAATTGCACCCTTTCCTAGTTTGTCAAATCTTACATACCCCAAAGCATCAGCTGAAAGGAGAGTGGGGCAGAAGCCAGGGTCCCCTTCCCCTGGCTGTGCCCCTGGGAATCCTCTTCGGGGTCTGCTTTTCACGAAGGTGGGCTTACCAGGCCATGAAAACACGCAGCTTTCTGTGGCAACAGGATGGGGGCCCACTCATGCCAAATTGAGTCTTTCTGACGTGGGTGCAGAAAGAAACAGACATGGTCTTCCCTACGGGTTCACTTCTCCGCCGGAGGACTGTGTAGGAAAAGAGCTGGCCAAGCCCGGAAACTGAGCTATAGCCCTGTCAGGGACAGCGGATGAGGCGTGGAGAACATTCGGCCACTTTCAGATTTTCTATGTGTGTGTAAGAGAGAGAGAGAATGTGTTTACTTCAGGGAACTGAGGGATGTGAGAAGGAAAAGTCTATTAAAATTTACGGAGGGAAGTCTACTAAAATACTGAAGTCTAACCCAAACACCATTCCTTCTTTATATACAAGAAGAGAAAACCCCATACCACGCATACTGGCACCGCATTGAACGTCAGCACAGGGGTGGGGTGCCCTGTTCTAAATGGGAGGCCCTCTGCTCTTTGTTCCCACTAAGTCCGTGGGTACCACTGTCTGGAATTTGAAAGCTTCAGGGTGAAGAAAAGAGGAGTGATGCACACTTGTCCCAGTGTTCTTGGGTGCGAAATTTTAGGGGGAAAATGGCCCTTTGTCACACAATAGACAAGGGGGCTTCTAAAAGTTCATGCAAAAAATGGAATGAAAATGGTGACATTTTTCCATGAACTTTTGGAAGCCCCCTCGTGCACCCTTTGTCAAAAATGAACACCAAGGGGCTTCCACAAGTTTGCGGGGACAGTGGAATGAAAACGTAATAGAACCTTTCTGCGAACTTTCTGAAGTCCCCCTTTGTAGGTTGCTTAGCTGAAATGCCAACTGTCAAATAGACATTCTTCTGTGTTTTTTACTGCTCTGGAACTTCAGCCAGAAGGAGAACTTAAGTACGAACAAAACAAAGAAAAATGTCTCTTTCTCCCTTTTTTGGGACTCTCTTTGTTCAGGTAGAAAGATAACAGAAAAGACACCAACAACAAATCGCTCACAGGTCCCCCAGAACAGCAGATAACCAGAACTCCAACGAAATAAGTTAATGTTTATCAAAATATTTTACAGCACCAATCTACAGAAATTTAATACCTTTCTTTGGAAACCCAAGCTTTGGGCTTTCTTGTGGAGACTCTGGAACATTCAACAAATGGGGCTGAGCACCTGGAAGGAGGCTGGCCCAGCCCTTCATCCCTGGCTTCCAGAAGGCCCACTCTGCCATGTGGCCATTTCTATGAGACACTCCTGAGGAGAAAAGTGTCATCGTGTGTCAGACATCTTTCCACCAGAGGTCAAAGGTCAGCTGGGGGGGGGGCGGGGAGAATGGGAAATGGCCTGGAAAACAGCATTTCCTTTTGCCACATTGTCCAAACTGCTGACCCAACACAGGGGAGGTAAGGATGCCTCCTTGGTCACACTCTATGTGGAACTGCGGCTCAGTCAGCAGTTTTGTGTCTGCCCTAAACCTCGAACCTGACCATACCCAGAGAGCATGGACAAGTGTGTGGCATGTGGACCACAAAGCCACCAGAACAAGGTCAGCACGAGGGACCACATGCCCCCTGAACAACACCATGTTATGGGGCAAAACAAGTGAGCGTTAAGCTCTGACTGAATTTGGTGGAGTGGTTCACTGCAGCTTGGAAGAGAATACCATTTGAGGCTGTGTTAACAAGGGGCTGGGCAGATGGCATCACAGGCCAGCACCTGCTTCAATAACCTTACAAGACCCTACAGGTCAACTTCAGGCATTGGAGTGAGACTGAGGCGGCTGGAGGGCACCCACAGAAAAGGAGGCTTCAATTCTGTCAGGGGCGTCAGACCCATGGAGTTTCTCAGAAACATACAGCCTGTTCTAGCTGCTCAAGACTGACCGTCGAGGCACCCGGGGGCCACTAGAACAGACTGGGTCAATGGGGACAGGTCCCCTGTACACGTCAGGGTGTTGCACACTGGAGGAACTCTTGTCCATGCGTGACCACCACTCCGTGATGCTGCTGTCTCACCTCAAGCGTGCAGGGCCCATCACAGTGTCAGAGCAAAGCCCTGCTGGGATCGGGGCACTAACTGGTGGAGGACAGTCTTTAAACACCCCAACAGGCAGTGGCTACTCATGCAGGCCAGCAGTCCTGACTGTCCTGAAGGTCAGCCATGGTGGCTTGGCTCTGAGGACCAGGAAGTTTGGTGGTCGCCATCCCGCACCACAGCAGCTGATGGAGTTGAGGAAGAGGAGATGGCTATCAGAAGTTAGGAGTGTGTGTGTGTCTGTCTTCAGTACCAGACACGGCCCTGGAGAGACAAGGTCCCCAGGAGGAGGTGGCCCTCTTCTGCACTGAGGAGCGGAGTGGGTCGGGTGGCTTTCTTGTTGCGGAGGCAGGCGAGGAGAGGCAGCAGGGCGGCCAGAATTGAGGGCCCCCGCCGACCAGGGAGCTTGCCCAGTGGGCTGCCCCAGAGCCGGGCATGGGTGGGAGCAGGAGCTGTTGGCTGAGGTTCTGGTAAGGGCAGCGTTCCAGTCCCAGGCCTCGGCAGGTCCCCTGGGCTGGAGGGGCCCTGTCATTTGCAGTGGTCCAGGTTGCCATCCGGCGTCCTGGCCTGGCCCTTAGTCAGTGATGCCTCCTCACTGTGCCAGATGCCGTAGCCGAAGTAGATGGTAAAGCCTGGAGACAATGAGGAAGAGAGAACCAGCATGAGCAGGGTGGAGCTGGGCCAGCTGAGGCTGCCACCTCCCGGTACACACAGCCCTCCACTGCTCCTCCCAGGCCCTGCTGCCATCGAGTCATTTCTATGTGTGTCAGAGTAGAACTGTGCCTCACTGGGTTCTCAGTGGATGATTTTTCATAAGTAGATTCCACTCATGGTGCCTCCGTGTGTGTCAGAGTAGAACTGTGCCCCACAGGGTTCTCAGTGGATGATTTTTCATAAGTAGATTCCATTCATGGCACCCCCTACATGTGTCAGGGCAGAACTGGGCTCCACAGAGTTTCATGACTGTTCCCTGTAGGAGTCAAAATGCCAGGCCTATCTTCTGAGGGGGCTCTGAGAGAGGTTGACCCACCAACCCTTTGATCGGCAGCCTAGAGCTTCACTGTTTGTGACGACCAGGGTCTTTGTCACACAGGACCTGCCAAGTTGCATAGATTATAAAGGGCCATCTCTGTGGTGTCTCTCAGCTGGATGCTGTTGCGGGGGACTCCCACTGGTCCATCCTCAGCTTAATCCCCCCAACACCTACCAACAGTGTCGGAGCACCCAGTCATTATGGGCTCGTTCGTGCTTATGTACTGAACTGGAGTGAACATGCACAGTGTCTCACCACATCCAAGATTCGGCTTCTAAGTGTCGCCGGACCCATCTTGTCCCCGACCCCTCAGCACCTTCCCACAGCACGAAGCCATTCTCTACTAGAACTGAACCAGACCAGTAGGTCACTGTAGCCCAGGCCAGCCTTGGCCATTGGAGGCAAAACTAACGGATCCTTGTTGTTCTTAGCAACATGGAACTCTTGCCTCAGAAGACAAAGCATTCCAGCAAGAGGCAAACCATAAAAGGGAGACTCTGGGTGGTGGAGCTGGTGGACATGCTCCACTGCTAACCAAAAGGCTGGACGTTCCGAGTGTACCCAAAGGAGCCTCAGAAGAAAGCCCTGGTGATCTGCTTCCCCAGACCCAGCTGTTGAAAACCTTCGACTGACCCAGGCGGGGTTGCCATAAGTTTTCAGGGGCCCCACAACCTCCCAGGGGTTCTCGATTGTCCAGAGGAAGCGCTGTGCTGTGGGGTCCCAGACGAGCGGAGGCTCTGCAGCATCCACCGTCTGGCCGAGCCCACAGACAAGCTCAGGCTCGGGGAGGGGTCTCAAGCAGACCCTGGCTGGAAAGAGGAGACACTGGGGGGCGGGGGGAAGGCATGTAGAGTGAATGCCGGCGGCAGCCCAGACACGCAGGGCTCCGAGCCAACTTACCTATGAGCATCCACACTGCGAAGCGCACCCACGTGCCCTGGTCCAGCTGCATCATGAGATACACGTTGACGAAGATGCTCAGGACGGGGAGGACTGGCAGGAAGGGTACCTGCCACACATAAGACCTGAGGGTCTGCCCTGTGGGGGCTGGTACTAACTGCCCCACTCCACAATGCCACGACAGTCCTTAGGCACCCCAAACCCCAACACACACACCCTGCATCCCAACACCACCCCAAACCCCAACACATACACCCTGCAGTCCAATACACACCCTGCATCCCAACCCACACACCAGACCCCAACACACACCCTGCATCCCAACAACACTCCAGACCCCACCCACACCCTATAGCCCAACACCCCCACAGAACTCAACACACACTCCAAACCCCAACACACACACCAGCCCCAACAAACATCCAGACCTCAACACACACCCCACACCCCAAAACACAACGCACCCCAACAGACATCATTCCCCAATACACATTTCCACGTCCCAACACTCACACAAAACACAATGTAACCCAACACAAATGCCATATGTACACCAACACACAGTGCACCCCAACACAAACCCCAGACAGCAACACACATTGCACTCAACACACCTCCCTCCACCCCAACAGACACCTGCACCCCGACAGGCACACACACCCGCACCCCAACACGCACTGGGGGGAGAGTTGGATGCTCTGCTCCTAACTGCAAAGCAGGAGGCACTGTGTGTGGCTCCAGCTCTGTTGGACATTGTGGGGCAAAGCCTGGGTGGCGGGGCGCACGCTCACCTTAAATGAGAGCTTGGTCTTGCTCTCAGGCTGCCTCCAGATGACGAAAGTGACCATAGAGCAGAGGACGGCGCAGCCTGCCAGCACAAAGATGGCCCAGAGCTCGGCTGCCGCCAGGGTGTCTCTACACAGCACTGACACCATGCAGAAGATGAGGATGAGGATTGCTGGGGTACAGAGACACAGTGTGGATCAGCCATCGCTGTTTCCCTGACACTCTTGCTTCTCCCCCAGATGTCAGCTATGAGAAAAAGACCTTCCACTCCACACCCCTGTTTACAAGAAGCCAAGATCCCACAGAGCTTACCTATGAGGCTGGTAGAGACATTCACAATTAGTCCAGAGTTTCTGGAGGGCTCCAGGTTTTTTGGTGACAGTATGGTTTTCAGAGAAAACTTCCCTCCTGGTAAGAAGCCTGTTTGGGAATCACTGGTGCTCACCAATTCATTCTGATCTACTTGGTCATCGTTGGTGCTGGCCATCTGGTATACTACATTGGGTTGCTCTGGCTGATACCTGTAGAGATGAAAAGCATAATCTCTCCACCTAAACTGTTGTTACCAGGGGCCAGCCAGGCCACTCGGACTCACAGTGCCCCCGTGCGACGTTGTTTCGTTCTGCTGTGCATGGGGTCGCTATGAGTCGGTTCCGACTCGATGGCACCTGACAATAACAACAGGGACACAGTAGATGACATCCTAGGACACCCTCTGGGGCAGTCCTACTCTGTCATGCTGGGGCGCTGTCAGTCAATATATTGAGTATATATGAGTATATAGTGACACAGTAGATGACAGCCTAGGAGACCCTGAGGGGCAGTTCTCCTCTGTTACACCAGGGTGCGCTGTAAGTGGATGATATATAAGAATATATATGAGTATGTAGTGACACAATAGATGACAGCCTAGGAAACCCTGTGGGCAGTTCTCCTCTGTTACACCAGGGGGCGCTGTGAGTGGATGATATATAAGAGTATATATGCGTATGTAGTGAAACCTCACTACTGCTGCCACACTTGAGTCCATCAATGATGCCACCTGGCTGATCCATCTCGTTGGGGGTCTTCCTCTTTTTCTCTGACCCTC